CTTGGCAAGAACAAAAGGATACATGGAAGGCTGAGCTCCCCGTCGGATCAGGTTTTATTGCATAGTTCTTGCGGTACATAACCCTTTAAACGTTTGAAAGGTCTTATGCTTCTAAACACAGAATGGCCACACCTCTGAGCAGATGGTTTCTGGAATATTTAGAAGGCACAGATGCTACAATGTACAATCCATATCCACTCCCTAAATCAGACACAAACTCTTCCTTTTCTTTTCTGTATCACGTCCAGTCAGATGAATAGTCTGTCACCATTTGCAAGAACTATTATATTAGCCTTCCAGCTAGGTGCAGTAAAACCTGATGTGACACGGAGTTCAGTCTCACGCGTATCCTTTTTATTATTGCCGAGCTCCGCTGTGCCGCAGCGTGTGTAACCATCGCTAGCCATTTATCTGTCACAGGAGACTTAGTACCTGGCAGCTTTATGGCACCACAGTCATTCCGGCTATTCATCTGTGGACAGGCGGTGACAACCTATAGCATACTTGAGTCGCTCGTTGATGAAGCCGGCCTCTGTGACTAAGAGCCCCTGTGTATTAGTTTTACTGCATCAACTGAAACGTGTCGCTGTAAGAGCCCTGCAAGGTCTAAATAAATTTTTTTCTATTGTCTGCAACTTAAAATCGCTTTGCCAGAGGTTGACGGCACCTTTCAAAGTCTGCGGGTCTGATGGCTCGTTGCCCTTAGGACACCTTTCTGTCGGCTTTCTGATAGTGGGCTAAGCCCGACAATCAATCCTGTATGAATTCATGTAAATGTAAACTCCTAATTTAGTTTCCTCAAGCACTCTGTATCGTAAACAATTGTTGGGGACAACAGTGAACCATGCCGGTGCAATATGTGTTGAAATGGCCACTTGTAGTTTCCATTAGATGACGGTGACAACGCAGTAACACCATCTGGAGATGGGACAGAGCGTTGTCGCCCTTTTATAGGAAGTGCCTGAACATGGCAGGGTCAGTAGAGATTACTTTTAACATGTTATGGATTATATGAGACGGGAGTCCTCTACATCTACTTACATTTGACCTAACCTAGTTTTATTCCTCAGGGTTCAGAAGTAGACGAGTCTTGCAAAGCTTTTTTTTTTTCCTCCTTTCTAATTTGTGGCTTTGACGTCCATTTTTCCCTCTTCCCTAATTTCCAGTAAAGGGAAAATTATCTGCAATTGCTGCGCAGGGGAAAATAGGTACCGTGAGACTCTGTATGGGAAAGAACCCCCTTCTTCCCAGCTGCACGTCCTGCACTCTCTAATTATTCCCTCATCTCCCCTAACTTTCCCAGAATCCTCTCTGCTCAGTAGAGTTTCCACAAATCTGGGGCTTTCTATCAACGTTGGTGAATGATCGTTGTACAGCACCAATATCTATACTGCCTACTACAGGAACATCATTTCTGGGCTACCATGTGTCCCACTGCCATGTGTAGGAGACACCACAGGGGCTTGGAGTCCATAAGTACTTGTTTCTCCATAAAGGCCCAAGAAAACAAGCCAATGTGGTTCCAGCGCTGTAGTGTACCCCTTCTTCATCAGGGTTCATAATGCTATTCCAGATAGGACTTAGGAACTCTTAAATCTTGTGGCCAGAACATCTAGAAAGGAATCCAGATCTTCTAGTCTTGACAAAGCTTGGCTTGTTTTCTCAGACTTCTCCTCCGCCGCATCCTGGATGAAGTCCAAAGCACCAGTGGAGGCCCCTTCATGTATGCAAACTGCCCAACCAGAGCTGCTGTACTCCATTGTAGACTTGACTCAAACCGATGAGGGATCCAACGCCTTCCACCCATGTCCTCCAAATTGCGGTCACCCCGTGTCGTTTGTGGCAACTCTATTTGGCTAGAAGATGCTTTTTCCCTTTAACCCTTCTCCTGCCACGGCATGGACTACGCATCCTGAAAGGCAAAACACAAGGAAGAGAAAGTAATTGGCCACCTTAGGTTTTGAGGAGCTTCCTTGTCCTACTGTATCTTCTACCATCACCACATTAAACCCGACCATAGAAGTATACATAGGAGGTCTTATTGTAGCGGTTTGTTCTCTCTCACATAACCGCAATCAGTAATTTTTATAGTCTTGGAACATTTCATGCTGCCAGACGGAGGTGGGCAAGTGACCCCGAACTGGATGGTAGCTGCCAACAGTTCATGGCTTGCAGAAAACACTTCAGCTTGGTCCTTGCTGTGTAGCTGAGCTTATATCGTGTTAACGCTTCATGTGGTTAATCAATTACCGTATTTTGCGGTCCATAAGACGCACCGGACCATAGGACGCAGGGAGGTCCGGCGCGCCTTATGGAGCACTCGAGACTGTAGCTTCTGTCACAGCTTCTATGACAGAAGCTGTGACAGAAGCTGCAGTTAGTGACCGCTGAGACAGGTGGCGCTGTGAATACAGCGCCACGGTCTCAGTGATGACACAGAGCAGGCGAAGAACGTCTATTCTTCGTCTGCTCTATGGTTATCTCGATCGTCGCCGCTGCTCGGTTTTAATACGAGTGATCTCATTAGATCACTCGTATTAAACGAGCAGTGGCTCCTGCTGCTGAACTCGATCGCCGCCGCCGCTGCTCGGCTTTAATACGAGTGATCTCGTTAGATCACTCGTATTAAACGAGCAGTGGCTCCTACTACTCGCCCGGCGCCCGAAACTGCATGTCTCGGGCGTCGGGATTCGCTCCATAAGACGCAGGCACATTTTCCCCCTCCTTTTGGGGGGAAAAAGTGCGTCTTATGGAGCGAAAAATACGGTATATCTTTTTATAGTATATTTGTGACCTGAATGGTTTGAACACCACATGGTATAAGCTCGAATTCCCCCCATTTAATCCCCATAATGCTTTTCACCATTGGCTACCTTGCCTGTATTAAGATGCAGAATGCGTAAAGACTAACTCTAGCCAAAACAATTTTACTCTTGAATGGAATGGGAAAGAGTTTGTGGCACCATTGGAGAGTTTTCCCCTTCCTGGAGACACCAGGTTGTGCGTTTGTTTTTATGCCTGTTGGGAACATTAACCGTCCTGTCCTGATTGGAAGTTAAGCTAAAGCTCCGCCAACAGGGTCACGGACATCCATTAAAACCCAACAATAGTTCTCTAACCCTTACCTACTCTATCCAAAGCCAAATAAAAGAGTCTTGGCTGGAGTTTGGTCTTAATTTAGTGGAACGTTCCTGCATTGGTCCTTCTCATCTCATCTCACTGCCTTATCGTATTTTGTCTGCTTTTCAGTGCATGGACCCATCCATACCATCACCGCTACCATATCAATACTACAAGTACTTCTGGTAACCTTTGCTTTACCCTGCCAAAGATTGCTTACCTAAAATGAATCTTAATTGAGATTCTATGCACCAGTTGTTAAATATTAAATATTTCGGTCTTTAGAGGGCCAGTCCACCCTTTAAGTGATGATTCAGATACAGATGGCCTCTGCTGTTGGCATCTCTGCCTACCTTGTATTCTAAAGAATTGGTATTCCAGCTGCCCCTATTGCATCATTTATCATATAAAATAAATGAGGAATGTTTAGAATGTTGATCGTGGTGCTCATGGGAGTCTGGAAGGATTTTTTTTTCTCTCCATGATGGAACAAACTGGGTCATCCGTTATTAGCTACATAGTTACATAGTTAGTCAGGTTGAAAAAAGACACAAGCCCATCGAGTCCAACCTAAGCGTTTCTTTTCTTCTTCTGTAATAGCTCCGTGTTTAGAGCTTTGGGGAAACAAGCTAGATGTGGCTACTGGAAGCTTCCATCCCGGGACCTATATATGCCAACTCACTCCCTCAGTTTAGGCAGAACTAACCTGGCCTTTCCCAGAACCCCACAAAATGCTATCGGGCCCTTCCTCCTAACTCTACAGCTAGCTAGCACTCTACAGCTAACAGTCCAGTTTGGTGTGAGAGGCTCCTTATGCAAAAATTGGGATATCCCATTTTTATATTATTACAACTATGGAGGCTTCCAAAAACAGAATCGTGCACACAGTCAGGACTTTGACTTCAAACTGTTAACAGTCAGGAGTTGGGGAACAATTTGCATGATCCGCTTGAGGTCAGGCAGTCAACAGTGCTCCAACTAGTAGATCTCAAGATCAAGGGGGCCTCCCAGCAGCTTTGACTGTCAACTCCAGAGTCCAGAGGGGGGTAAATAACCTATTTCCTTTAAAATCCAGTATATTTCGAATAATTTAAAGCTCAGCTCCAGGCTGGCCAAAAAAATAAACGGGCTCCCCCAGCAGATGAACAAGAAAATGCTTCGGTTTTTCGGGGAGAGATATATCATAATTCATAGTCCTGTAGTCTTCCTCCTCAGTGGTTCTGGTAGTGACGACCTGTCTGCTGAATCTGCTTTTCTTGTGGTCTTGTCGCCTCTTCCCACTGACATCATTGCATACAATGTAGGACTAGTGGCTATCTCTCGTCCTGCATTGTACATGATCTTGAGATGGACCGTCCACATTGAGATGCTTGAGACAAGAGGCTTGGAGTGTCAACTGCCGCAGGACTGCGGGGTAAGGTAAGCATTACTCTTTATTTGATCTACAGAGGGTCCTGTAACAACCCCTTCCCCCCCAGTAAGCCCTGTAACCTTTCCCCTACTGGTTTTATCCACTGGTGTCCATCAGGGGGATGATTAATCTCTTGAAGGATATATACTATATATTTTGATGTAAAACTCTTATGTAGCACTTTGCTATATCAGAGTCCCCTTCATCCATGTTTGTGCTTTTCCTTCACTTAGTTGGGAGGGCTGATGAAGCGTCCGTGTTCATTTCTGCAAAATAAACCTTCATCAATCATCATGTTATCTCTCACAAGCCAACAACAAGTTAGTTTGAGCCCTTGAGAATATAGGGCCATTGCGGTAGACTCTAATAAATCGTACATGTCAGTACCCATGCATGCGCCATACTCTCTATCTCCATGTTACATGTGTGTGTGAATGTCGTCATGGCATGTGATTTCTTAGATAGTATAAAGATACATGCTTGTGTATTCTTTGTGCTGTCACTTTTCGACAATGGATAGGTGCATGCTGGGATACGTTGGGGCGTCGTTCTATGCCCAGGTGGCATCGTACTAAGCTTTGGCATTATAAATTGGTAGATTTAGGATAGTCACTATCTATACTAAGTGCACTACAAATTTCATGTTGCTTTTTATTCTTTTCTTTAGTATAAATTGTATACAATATTTTATATATTATTAATAGACTTAAAGGGAATGTCCACTTTCTAGTAACTTAAATCTGTACATTGCTTCCTGTACTTATTACTACAAACATAGTTTTTACCTATTTATGTAATCTTTGTTTTGTTCTGTTTGCCTATATTTATGGAGAGGTGCTCATTTTGGTTGATGACTTGGTTCTTCTTAGCTTTCCACCCTATTATAGCTGATCTGGCTTGTATCCCTGGTCAATGTGAATTGGCACTCTTTGGAATATAGACATGGCAGGAAGAACACCAAAAGAAAAGAACAAAAATTTCAGGGAGCTTGTATAAGCCAAAAGGATAAAGTTAGAGCAAAGTGGATAACCCCTTAAAGGTTGACCATTGAAATGGCGATCATTAGTTGACAATCTGTGTTTCCTGTTGTAGGTTGTGTTTGGTCAGCCCACATCATTGTCTCATCATGTTGGTCTTTCATTTACACCACATTTTATTGGACTTTGGGTATTTGGCTTTTTGGTCAGTCCCTCTTTTTCTTCTCCTACATTAGTAGCAGTCAAAAAGTTAGCTTGAAGGAACGGGTCTTCTCCAGCCCCAGAGGTGTCGCCACGAAAGGCAAAGGCTCCCCGCAGGCCCAAGGAGTGCGTAGATCCCCCAGTGCTGACCAAAGCATGGAGGAAAGTCCCAGTAAGGTGCCCAAGAGCTGGAGCTTTGGAGATCGGGGAAGGACACGCCAGGCCTTCCGCATCAAGGGATCGGCATCACGGCAAAACTCTGAAGGTGAGGGTATTGCACCAGTGAATTTATATAATCTCATCAATGACACCTATGACTTCAGACTCTTATTTTGGTAATAGTGAATATACACCCAATCTGTGCTATATGGCTACCTGGTAAAAGGGTAATAACACATTGGCAAGCCTGCCATACGGCAGCCTCCATTGCCTGCTTAATCCTTTGCCTGTTTTTTACTACTATACTGGTGATGGCCATCTTGACCTCTCTTAGTGCCAGCAAGTTCTTCCTAAAGTTTCTTCCTCCTGTCTATTGATCCAGCCACCATGCTGTCAATATCTATGTCACTATGGTGCTGCTCTTTGTGACAGTGATTGCTTGCAACAGAGTGCCCCTTGGCTAAGAAAATATTAATTGCCCTTTATGAAAGCAATGTTGGTCACTCTCGATGGCACAGGGTTGCGGGAGGGGCATTGTTGGCAAAGCCAATTAAATGGTGCTCATCTAACCAAGTGCCATGTCTCTTGGGGCGTGTATCCTTCACAGAGGCCCTCCCAGAACCATATTTATATTTTCTTCTTCAGGAGAATACAATAATGGTCCCATTGGTCATCATTTCCTCCACCTATTATAAATATGGTGGAGAGTTAAGCCACCCAGTGGTATCAGATCTCTCTAGGGGACCTCGTTGCTGATATTTCTGTGCTTCCTGGGTCCTGAGGTGGCCATTTATATGGGTTTTCCACTCTCCCTACTGGATTTTTTGTTGTTTTATTTTATAAATATAAACGGGGAGGAAGGTACATAAACTATCATAATATAGTGTCATATAGTATACATAGTATCAGGTGGTGAGTCTCCTATATAACTCAATGTCGCACATTTGAAATGGTGGTGGGATCTCCTTGATTGGGGATTAACATTTTGCACCTTAGGTTGCACCTTAGCTTGCCCGATATCCCCAAAGAGGATTTCTTGCGACCTATCTTTGCGAGTATCACACTCTTTCTTCTACATTTATTAAAAACGTATCTATAACTTGGTACTATAAAATACTACACTTAGTCAGATCTCTCCTGGAACTTTTTGTCCTCAATTTTGTCGCTCCTACTGTTTGGAGTTGTCTCTCTTTTAAGTTTCTTTGTGTGTAAACTTCCAAGCTTGGTTGAACAAAATTGTTTATTTCACCATAGTTCTTCGGAATGATAGTAAAATCTTCTGGCCCTCATCAGCAGGTTCATGTTTATGTATTGTCCTGCAAAACAATGTGTGGTGGCTCAGCCACTATCTCATGCCTCTGGTTAGCCATAGTTTATAACTAATTGATGGGAGGTCTCTCCCCCTAGAAGCCAGTCTCCCTGGGGAGGAAATTCCTGAAGATAACAGAAGCTGTAATTGTGAGTTCCTGTCTGAAGAGTGGACCCCTGGTCTGAAGGGATCTATTCGAGCCGTATGGTAAGTTTGTTGCCCATTGACAACATGGAGGACTGCTATAAATATATACAAGCTATCAGTTGGGTTAAAATAACTTTAAGGACCCGTATCAATGGTCTTATGTTGATGTGTATTCAGCCTGCATTTGAGATCACTTTAAGATGCTTCTGAGATGATTAGAGTTCAGTGTTGGGTGCATTTGTCCTACAGTTGGCTGATCAAGTTTGAAAGGTTAGCTACTTTTTAATTACCATGACTCTCTTATTCTAGCAACCACTACATTGACCAGGTCCCAACACACCCTCAAGTTCATACAAAGAGTCTACAAGATATGCAAAGATATAGTAAATATGTATAAAGGGGAATATTTTTGAAAAATAGGTTCTTTTTGGCTCATTTTAAATCTGTATTTAGTCTTTACTGAAAATGGCACATGCCAATGCTGACCTGGAGTATTAAATAAAGTAAAAGAAGCAGCCACTTCAAAAAGCATAAAATTTGAGTATATGATGGAAAATACTTACCTTTCCTTCCAATTCTGGAATATTTTCTGTCTGCTATTGCCAGTAACAACATTGCTGTCATGTTGTCACTGCTTAAGGAGGAGAACAAAGTTCAGGTAGTGCCACCGTATGGCTGGCTGTGTTTTTGAAAGTCTCTCATGCTGTCCCATTTGGCTGAGATTACATGCTCAAAATGTTGGCATTCAGTTCATATAGCCGACACTTGCTTTCTCTGGGGAAGTGGAAGAACTAAGCCGGGACCATGTCCCAACACATCCTCAAGTAGGAGTAGACCTACCACAGCCCATCTATAACTAAATCATCACTTTTTTGCAGATTGGTTGACATTGAGCTAATTGCTGACCATTCTACACTGTTTCTTCCTAGTGTCATGCGGTTCCTGGTGTCCAAGCGGAAGTTTAAGGAGAGCCTGCGACCATATGACGTCATGGATGTGATAGAACAGTACTCAGCTGGACATCTGGACATGCTTTCCCGTATCAAAAATCTCCAGTCCAGGCAAGACATCTTTATCAACTCTCTCATGGTTCTTAGCACAACATTCACACTGGTGACCCTTGATATCACTATGGCACATTACATTTTGTATACCTACAAAAGCCATTGTATCTGTTCAGAGATGTGTAATTCATTGGCCCTTGGTTGTAGATGTTGTCCCTTAAATAATGCCAAGTGGAGGGTTGGCAAATTTCATTCGGGGAACAGTTTAACCTACTGCTCTTTAGGGATTATGGGACAGAATGGTGGAGTAGCCACCATGATGTTTCAACAACTTAATCTTACCACAGAATAGTTTTGAAGCTTCACAGCACCATCTCCATGTCTACAATACCAGGAGATCATGTCTGCGTTCTTTTTTATAAACCCCCAGATTTCACTACGGTGACTAAGGACCAGTGGTATCGCTAAAGCAGCTATATTGATGCAATACATATCATGGTTTTCAGAGAAGGGAGGTCTGGTTGGCCTCTATAAGCAGCTATATTGAAGCCATGACCATACACTGCTGTGTACGTACAGAAGTTTGAAGCCATGACCATACACTGCTGTGTACGTACAGAAGTTAGAAGGTCCCTTCTCAAGGAAATTGCCCATTTGCCAGCCCTCCACTGATGCTACCATGGAAGTCTCTTTGAGAAGAGCTCCAAAAAAGATTTACTAATCCCTTACTAAAAAGGATTTGTGTCTTTCAGTGACTCCGAAGGTTTCAGAAATTTAAGAACAGTCATCCATAACGTTGTCAGAACAATTTGTTCACTTTGTTTTCTGTGTGTTTATGCGGATCAGGGTTCACAGGTGTGTAGAAACTAGGCCAATCCATTTCATGGCTTTGTAACCCTGTAATCAAATTCCTATGCTAAGTCACAGGTTTTCAACCAGGATTATGGGTACTTTTGTAGGTTACTTAGACAGTCAGGGGGGTTCGCGTGACAACTGTGCTTATGTCAGTGGGCATTTGACACATGGGGTGACCTTTAGTAAGGGGAACATATGATTAATGAGAGAAACGGTTAGGTATGGGGTTGGAGGGAGTGTTGATGTGAGGTTAAGTGTTAGGGATAGTGTGAGGGATGGGGTTACAGGGAAGGGTCAATATTGGGATAGGGTGAAGGTTGGGGTTACCGGGAAGGCTCAATATTATCACTACAGGGAGAGTTGGTGGAATCTCTGTATCAAAAAGAAACAACCCCAATCTCCCAGTGCTATGTACTGTCTTTCTCCACCATTGTCCCTTTCTAACTGGTTTCTGCTGTGCATTGAACCTTGTAAACAAATGTTGGATATTGAATGGGAGCCAGTGCTAGACATAAATATAGGCACTAAATCTGGCTGATCGCTCTAGATTCTATCCACTCAGTAATTTCATAAAAGTGTTCATGTGCATAATATACTCATTTATATGCCAAGAAAAGAAAGTGCCTACAGAGCAGCTGATGAATTTACTCAGTTGCAGGTGCGCTCATTCAGTTTATTTTTTCCTAGTAAATAAGGGTTTGATTGCGAAATGATTGTGCAGAGCTCAGTGCAAAGTGGAACCAAGTTTGCAATATTTTCCAGTTGCTTTAAGCGGAGGATGATACTAAATCTAATTTACAGGGATATGACGGCTCCAGCTTCTAGTCCCCGTAGCTAGATCTGAACTTACTAATCTCTGTTAATAAGTCTTATTTCAATAGAACACGATGAGGCGAGCTACGTGACATAGGAAAGCTCTGGACTCAAAAAAACTTTTTACTAGGGATGCAACGATACTTTTCGAGTACCAATGCCGATACTTGACATTTTTATGAGAACTATCAGGGTTGCAGCTGGGACCTGGCTCTGGCGCTCCACCACTGTCCTGAAATCATTAGTCTGTATTGTTTTAGAAAAACTATCACATGACAATAAACAAAAATGTATCAGTACTTGTGTCTGTGAGGACTTGGACAAGTATCGGCACTTGTACTTGCAAAAATGGTATCGGTGCATCACTTTATATTTATAAAAACAAAATCATACATTACAACAGAGATGGATGTACAAATCCCAGGGGCTCCGTGTGCTCCTTACAAATGACAGCTGCCTCCTAACTTCTGAATTTTTCTCTAGTGTAGTCTTGGAGCTCGAAAAGTATCTGTACTGGTGCCGAGTACTGTACTTGGTATCGGTGCATCCCTACTTTTTACCCAAATGTTATTAAAACTTGCATATAAACCAGGTAAAATCTGCCTGACTTGAGGTTCCTCAGATAAGACAGCTGCTGAGAGGTGTCGGGATTGTCATTAATCTAAATTGATCTTAAATTGTCTCTTTTGAGCCAATGGCTGGAGACCACAAAGCCAGAGCTTTGAGTATATCTGTAGGTGATTTTAACCTTTTTTAGCTGAAAGTTGGTCAAGTAACCAAATAAATTTTAGGCGGGAACTAGACACCAGTACAAGTCAAATTTGCATCCCCAAAAACCATAAACCTACATAGCTAGTAGTATTTCTATCCAACTGGACTAGCTCTGGATTGTTGAATATGTTTTGCTGCTTATCCAAGAAGGAAATTGCTTGGATGACCATCAAAATGTCTTTTAGCATTACTGAAGTCCAGTTACATGTGACTAACTACTATCTATGCCGTGACATGGATAATCGAGAAGCTTCATAGGTTCCAACTCAACTTTGTGAATGATGAATGCATTGAAAGTGAACATTGAGATACCCATGGATCAGGTCACTTTCAGGTACCAGATATAATGCTAGCCTCTGCTTTGGTGATCGGGGTATCTAGTCAAGTGGGGCTGAGATTGACACAAGCTTAGTGATACTTTAAAGTGTTCACCAGAGTAGATGCACAGAAGTATCCAACACGCCATTGGAATAGAGAAATCTTGAGGAGCTAGCTTAGCAGGTTTAAACTTAGGACCAACAAGAATATTTTGCAATCTGTTGGAAGCAAAGATAAACCTAAATTCCATTTTTGCTTTTGGGTGTTATTTGGGGGTCAATAACCATCTTAAATTCTGTCTAAGTGAGGACAGTGGTTATATGATCTCCAAGCCAAACTGGCTTAGAGTTGTCCTTCTTTTCTGTATACCAAGGACTACGATGTTGCCAGTTTCTACAGCCAGTGCACCTTGATGAGCATGATACATATTTGACACTATTGTGGCTAATTGTGTCTCTCTTGTGTCTTATTGTGTATTTATTTATTTTTTATTCCACACCATCATGACGCACACTCCCTCTCTATATTGTCACACTGTGTCTCACCTTGATCCATAGGAATATATGTTGACCTATATCCAATATTCCACCCAGGATATTGCCACATATATACATGCAAATATATTCCAGTGTTCCCAGCCAATCCCAGTGTCGACTGGTGTTTCCGCAGCCGTGCATATCCCTGGAATTCAGCTATTTGGAATATATTTCCAGACACGTTCTATTCTTTTTTTGGTTTTGTTTTACCGTCCTGAATTTTCCCCACGTTGCTTCATTATGCATCTTTGCTGGTGTTTTGTTTTTCTATTTACTTTGCCAGGATAGATTTGATTGTGGGTGCCCCACCCCCTTCTACACCCCGGCACAAGAAGTACCCTACCAAAGGATCAGTGCTCTCTACCAAAGAATCTCCCCAATATTCTCCTAGGTTAGGATTCACCAAAACGCCTCTTTGTCTGGACTGCTTTTTCTTGCATTATGATTTTTAAGGAAAGCGAACCCCTTTCAGCTCATGGTTTGTGATGGCGGGAATGTAGACATTGGGGCAAACCTTTGGCAGCAACGCAAAGCAGGATTGAGTCTTGTTGGTAGCGTTAAGAGATCTATAAAGATTTGATGAGCCGATGCGTATTGGATGTCCCCAAATGCCCATCAAGGACAGAAACTTTCACTCATTGTTGATACTGCTGATGACATCTCTCATTCCGGTCAACATTTACACTTGTTCTTTATGCAAAGCGTTAAAAAGTCAGAGAGGGACACAACTTGCATATATGAGCAACACAAAAACAACATTGCAAATAAAAAGCATATTTTTTATGACATATAAGCAAAGTCAGGGTAGAATTTTACCTTAATGTTCAATTGTAGAAGCTTTTCGGAAAAAGTCTTTCATATGAAACACACCAATGACTTGGTATACACAAAAGGGTCTATTTATAAACAATTTGCAGAGCCATTCACCCTGCAAATCTTTGTGAGCGTTCATGCTGTACCAATAGAGGTAAAAATGATCGTTCTTAGTATATTTTCTTCTCAGGATGAATGTAACATTCAGAAAATACCACGTTGTGGCCACCAGATGGATCTGAGGAGCATAGGAAATAAGTATTCATTTCATATGCTCCTCAGCTCCATCTAGTGACCATAATGTGGTATTTTCTAAATATTACATTCAGCCGGAGGAGAAAAAAAATTAAGAATGTTCCTATTCGCACAAATCGAATTGTCAGAGATTTGTAGGGTGAATGGTTCTGCGAATGGTTTATAAATAAACCCCAAAGTCTGTATGATACTCCGAGGTTTTCTCTCAGGTGCTCCATTGTCCTCTAATAATTCAAAAACATTCTGATAGGCTGCATGATATATAGTCAAGCAGGTCCTACAACAGGGTTTCTTAACCTGGGATACCTATAACACTGGTGGGAACATGGAAACCAAGTGGTGGGGGTATAGAGCAGGACCTTTGAACTGTCTGCTGAAAGGGGGGTATGGAAACATATTAGGCAATCGATTGGGGGTCTGTAGTTGAAGAAATAAAGTTAAGAAGTTGGGCTCTAGACTGCATGTGGTGGGATGTGTGTGTTGTGTGGTAGGGACACTACATTATGAGCTCTTTCAGCGGAGGTTGTGGTGTGAAATGCTGTGAGTGTGTTCAAATGCTCGACACAGAATAGTAGTGGCAGATGCATGATGGGATTTGTGGTTTGGCAGCCCCCTGATATTGGTTACCATTAGCTTCGTAATGCATAGTCAGTATTGGGACTAATTTTAGCACTGTGTGGGGTGCTGAGTCTTTTGAAGATGTTGATCACCGGGCACATTACATCTTGTCTATACAATCTTTGTGCAATTAACTTTAGCTCTACCAAAACCATGTAACATGAAGACCTTCTTATTCTATCCAATCAATCTGTGTCTAAGCAGGCAGAAACCTTGTACAACATAGATGTTGGTAGATCTAAAGGAACTTGTACAGAAACATTGTAAAGTGTGATGAGCTTTAGACAAGATATCTTCTCATTGTCCTTGAAACCACTGCTACGTTGAACTGGCCTTTGGCTTTTCTACCAGACTTGTCCAAACGTTGCCCATCTTGTCCACACAAGGTCAACTAACTGATCACTAACAAGAAGCTATTGGGATTGGTCCCCCACCCACTTCTACACGTAGACACAAGAAGTTTACAACCACTTCCCTCTCAGCAGCAATTCAAAGCATAGCAGGACAAGGTACATATAATTGTATTCAAGGCTTTCCATCATAGTCACGTTCACCGGACTCCCAATTCCGAAAAGATCAAGCGACCACCTGCGTGCCATGCAAAGTCATAACACACTTCTTAGCTTAGCCAGCTGGCCAGAGACCACCTGCCTTGCCAAGGTGCCCCATACAGAAGGTAAGTGTCCATCACATGAATGGGTGAAAGGGGTTTGCTAGTTGTTTTTTTATTATTATTTTTGAGCTGCCATAGAGTTGAGAAGACGAGCATCCTTCGTTTTTCTTTTTCAATCTGTTGCTAGTCTTTTCATTTTGGCTCTAGTTTCTTTTTTGTATTTTTTTTTTAATGCATGCACGCATGTGGACTAATGGAGCATGACAAAGATGGCATCGTGGCTGATACTGAGCAGTAGTTCCATGTTTCTGCTAACTTTTCTTAAAGACAGAATGTTCTCAATAGGTTTCTGGGTGTCCTAAAGGGTAGGTAACAGTAAGGAGCATGCCATGAAAGTGTATTACTGAGGAGGGAGCAGTGTTATGGGCATGACCAACGTTGCGCCTGTTAGTACACTAGGAACCACAGCCATCAGCAAATGTTGGAGGCGAAGTGATTGATGGTGGTGGCTTCTAATGTATTGATGGGTTGCTTGCTGAAATATTGGCTGTCTGCATAATTGCACTTGCATCGAGCATACCTTTTAATAAAGGATGTATTAAGTCCAATGAAATATGAAGAATGATGCATGCGGTCTTAAGGTTTCCTGAAACTGCTTTGGATGATTTGCACTGTAGAGGTGGCGGTCAACTGCAATATCAAGGGACCTCGGAGTAGCACGAGATGTTTGACAATGACCCCCTCAAATGTTGGGACATGTTGAGATATTCCGATCATTTTTGCTATTTCAAAGTTCACTTTTGTTGCACTTTCCCTTCACGAATCTTCTTTGGTTGGAAGTAGATAAAGCTGAATTTGACAGACTTAGCATATCAGAAGTGAGATCTTTTAGGAGCCCACATCAGGTATGGAATTCGAGGTATGAACCTCATTGAAAGCCCATTACTAGAAGTAGGAAAAAGAAGATTTTAAGTCATATTTTGTGCTCTTCCAATAAGTTCGGAGTGCAGATCCCTCTCTACATTTAGATGTAGGTTCTGTAGCTTGGCTGTGGAGTTCTGTTTTATATCGATTGAATATTGATGATATTGTGTTGAGGTTGAAGGACAGTTGAGAATATGGAAGGCAGCACAACCTGGTTGCAACAATGACATTTATTGTTTGGGCATAATAAAAATATATGCAATACATGCGCATCTTTAAAGACGCTATAAGTACAGAAAATACCGGTTGATCCTACTAGAAATCCTGTGGACTTCCTGCAATGAGCTGAAAACACAGTGAGGGAAATTTACTAAGACTGGAGCAGCTGTGCATGGCAGCCGGTCAGCTTCTAGCATTCATTTTTATAGCTAACTGAACAAGATAGAAGTTGATTGGTTGCCATGCAAAGCTGCCCCAGATTCTGTCTTCTCTAGTCTGAGTAAAGTCCCCCCAGTGTCTCTGCTGCACTGAAATGTCATGCTTAGTTCTTTTAAGCTGAACAAGAAAATACTCCCCTTACGTTATGGAAGTAGAGGCGTACCGTAGTCCAGCATAGGAGAACTGGGCTGAGCCGACAACACTGCTTGGGCTTTAAGGGCAGCAGAAGCAGCATTGACGGTTAATAGGACGTTAGGAGCTCATTAGATTTCTGGCAGGTCAATAGGTATTTTTCTGTAGTTGCAGAGGCAGAACATGGGAGTTGTGCCTGTATTGCAGACCATTAAGTAGCTTAGCGTTAGCCATATAGATAGATCTGTACAGTCAGTGCCTAAATGTTCTTAAACAAGAATGCAAAAATCCACTGTCCCAATACAGTGGCCATTGCTAACAAACCCTATTCACCTTTCTCAAATTTACTTTGGAATACCCTGGCAAAAGTATAGTGTAAGGGTAGGCCGTCCGTAATTGATCTTAATGGCATCACTCCAGTGGAACACTACCAATTCACTATCGTTCACTAATGACCCATAAATAACTGGTTTGGACATAACCAAAACTCCTGTGATGAAAGACGAGGTTCTTCTCCTTACCTTATTAGAGGAATGAAGTGAGTTGCGGCCTGTAGAGCAGGCTTTTTTCATAGGCTATTGCTTTTTTGCCTTGCAGCATCCTGGCCCCACCTCATCCTCTCTGCTGTCACTGTGTCTGTCTTTGTCCTTTCTACCTTGGACCCTTAACCACCCATCATTAAGTGCACGTGTCCCCATCACATGTCATGCTGGCTTGTGGGAGCCTCTCTGCATATAATTGTGAGACAGACATGATGAACTGTAGAAAAAGGATTGGGGGGGAATGTTTCCTGTTTGCTTCTAGATCAGCCATGGGAAGTGTTTTACAAGAGTTAAAGCATTATTGTACTCCGAGCCATGTTGGTAATCATGCGTTAAACTTCACAACTCCATTCCTAGAAGAGCCTGAGCTCGAAGTTTTACGTTTTCAAAATTTTATACAACATGGTTAAGTCTGTAAAGTCTGGTCAATTTTGGCACAATAATGGTCTTCTTCCGAATCCAGGTCTGTTGTAGACTTTTGAGGACCAGACTTTAAACTCGATTGGTAAAATAAATCATTTTGCTAATTTTGATGAGGATTGAACTCTTGTAGGGCTGTTCCATAGCTGCCTGGGGAATATGTATGAGTTTCCTGCTACTGGGTATTGGGCTTCATCTAGTTAGATTAATGCTAAGGCCTTTGTAGCTGGTTTAGTGGCTTTTAGTGGATCTGCTAAGGTATGGTCTGGAGTCGTACCTGTCTTTATGAGAGAAGAGAACCTTCTCTCGGTTCAATGGGGCAGGAAAAATATCAAACTTGTCTGCACAGACAACTAATCTTTGGGCTTTCTGGGGTATTTCTTTTTGTGTTCCCGGTAGAGTGGACCAGATTGTTGGAAGAGGAGGTTCCATCAATGAAAAGGACAGGGCCAAGGCTGGAACCGAACTAGAAATGCCTGAGGACCCTAGCATGATGGGCCGTTTGGGCAAAGTGGAGAAGCAGGTAAGCTTCCTCGATAGACAGTTTGTCACTGTAATAGGCAGAGGGTTAGGAGTAGGTTCTGGTCATGTGACCCCTTTGAGAGACCTAGAGCGCACAATGCAAAAGTTGTCTCTAAAGGTTCTCCTTTATGCAGGTGGTGGTGGTAGTAGTCATATCAAACTGGACTTTTTCTGCAATTTTGAAGCTATTTCAACAGTTATAACTTCAACTGTGTCTTGGGAGAACTCCCTAACATTTCTAGCAACTGAGTTAACCTTAAGCCAATCACCATGATGTCATGAGATGTGTAAAGGCAGATTTTGATTGTCAGTGATGGAAGCTACTGTGACACGTTTATTGACACCATGATTATTGCATTAAGGTTACTGAATTACCCATTTGGCTATAAATAATGAAGGATTCAGGGTTATTTTCCTGACACTCAGCAGAACTGACGAAGCTGCTTGGGTAAGTAGCAAAATAGCTAAATTTTTCAGAACAAGTTCAGTTTAATGTGACTAACTGCTACTGCAGAAACTGGGTGCTTAAAGTCCTGCGAGAATGCACTCCAGCCCAATACGCCAAAACTTAGATAAGGTGGTGCCGGGCACAGTTATTGAAAATAATCAACCACTGTTATTTATTGCAGGTGCTTTCCATGGAAAAGAAGTTGGATTTTCTGGTAAACATCTACATGCAGAGGATGGGTATTCCCCCTTCAGAAACAGAGGCTTACTTTGGAGCCAAGGACCGTGAGCCAGCTCCTCCATACCACAGCCCAGAAGACAGCCGGGATCCTGTAGATAAGAACAGCTGTATCACCAAGATTATTCGCTCCACAAGCTCAGTGGGCCAAAAAAACTTTAGTGCTCCACCTGCCCAGGGAATGTCAACCCCCTACTGCCCGCCATCCACCTCGTGGCAGCAACAACAGCCATACCACCGACACAGTCATGGTTCATCTCCAGTTGGTGATCCAAACTCCATGGTGAGGATTCCTCCACCCCCATCACATGAGCGTTCAGCCTCTGCTTATGGAGGGAGCAGACCGGGAGCTGGTGAAGAAGGATCTGCCAAACACCGAGACAACGCAGCCCTGAGAGATAGCGATACCTCTATATCTATCCCATCCGTGGACCATGAAGAGTTGGAGCGTTCTTTCAGTGGTTTCAGCATCTCCCAGTCCAAGGAGAACCTGGAGGCTTTGAACAATGGGGCAGTGGCGGGTCCCGGCCCCGTCAGCAAGGTCCGCCCTTACATTGCTGAGGGAGAGTCTGACACAGACTCTGACCTCTGTACCCCTTGTGGTCCGCCTCCTAGGTCAGCCACTGGGGAAGGGCCTTATGGTGACATGGGATGGCCAACCGGGAAATAGACTAATGCCTGCAATTCTTTGGGACTTCTGTAGATACCGGCAATGAGCCATCAATGTAATGCGCCCAGAACAAGGGCCTCTTCATCTACTTCCTCTTCCAAAGGTGCAACCACATCCAGGGATTTGGTAGCAAATATGTGAAAGATCTTTTTGTGGCTAACACTTGTATCTTGATTTAAGCCAGGGCAAGTAATTGCCCATCAACAGAGATTGGCTTGGTAAACCAAGTCGCCAGAAAGTGATATCCTGTCGTCATAATATATTTTTGCATTAAGTTTGAGGCTACATCCACCACAGCCCCCACTTGGTTTAAAATGAAATAGCGTCTGCTATTCCGACTGGCATTCAAGAATCTTTATGGGCCTGATTTGTTAACCTGCAATGGGACTTAAGACAAGTTAAAAAACACTTAAGACATGCTAAACTGACATATAAGATTGACGATAGGCTTTTTTAGAATGCCTTAGGGTACCGTAGGTGCCGTTTCTGCTTCATAAATGAGGACCATTCTCTATACAGAATTTTGCACCCTTCTCGCGTTTCATGTTAAGTTTGCTCTTTTTTGTTGATCTTTTACGCACTTTACATCTCATTTGCTCACTATCTCCTTCTTCTATTCCCCGTTTGGTTAGAACATATTCCACCATTATACAGGTGTCCCACAAATCTCTATTTTCGCCATTAGAAATGTACACGTCCTGTCCCCTTATGTACTGATCACCAACACTTCTATTACTCTCCAGTTAGTGAGTGTACAGACTCCTTTTGATGTGTTTTAGATATGGCCGTGGACTATCCTGCTTATATATAACACCCCCTCACAATCACTTATTTTCCTTCTTTGTACAATGGTGTTTGCAAACCTCACACAGCCTTTCACAATTTTGCATATATTCAAACACTATTCAACATACAATTTTGTAATGTCAGGGTTTGCTGTTAGCACAGATTCATAAAAATGCCTTTTGGGCTCCTTGCTGTCTTCCGTAGACCTCTCTGAATGTCAAAGGTTGAGTTGACTTCAATGTTCAGCTCGTAGGCTTATTTCCTTATGTGGAAGCTCCCAAGAAGCAGCTGCACACCCTCCGAAAAAGGGAACCCACGAAAACCAGTAGATAATGCTCAGAGGCAAAGATATAGTCCACCAGCATCCATTTTGGCTGCTGATACTACACCCGGATCAGACACCCTTTCTGAATGTAAATAGTTATTTGTAGTGGACAGGAAGGGAAGAGCGAGAGAGAAACTGAATACAGGTTGTTTTTTTTTTAGATCTTATTCAAACCTGAAACCTTCATTTAATATCATGGACTCTTCTTTCTATGTACATCAAAATCGAAACCTTCAAAGTTCCCTTTTCAGGCGTGCAAACTTTTCAAAAAGTATCTCTTTGTATACGTTTTTCTTTAGCTAGCAGAACATTTAAACTCCAGAGACCTAAGAATGATTGATTAATAACACTTTTTCTCTTTTTACCAAATAAACTCTTTTTAAAAGCTGCCAAACACACCTACCGTACACTGGTGTAATGACCCGAAACATAAAGTTTTATTTATCCGTGGTCAATTTGGTGCTTTTTTTTTGTTTTATTGGCATCTCCGATTCCTTTTTTGCATGAAAGAAAGCCGACTCCGACCACAGCATGCCAACTGCTTAAGTTGTATTTAAACTACGGAGATGTATATACACATTAACTCAGTTGCCTTATAGTGTTCTGTGGTCAGGGGGGGGGGGAGGAATGCTAGTGACAACTTCTATGATGTAGATAAGTCAGTATTTTTACTATACGCTGTAACCTGTTAATCGATTCGACTTTGTAACTTGTAAATTATTTTGCCAACAGATGCGATCCCAAGGAAAGGCAATAGATAAAACTAGGGCTTTTTTTTTTTTTGATATATGCAAGGAATGTGTATATACCAAAGTAACCTTGGAGGCAAAAAAATTGTAAGGCTTTTCGGCCCTTTTGTTAACTGCAAAAGGTGCGAGATTTTGGCTTCTGTTTTTGTAACCAGATTTAGGAATTGTGTTGTGGATACAACTCCTCCTTTTTGTGGGGATTTTGATACCTTAAATGTATCCAACGTATTTTAGGAATATGCTGGGCATGCTAATGGTAATGCATGTTTTAGTCACACAACGTCCCCTGAGATGTGTTGTCGTAAGCGTTGGTCAGGTCTTTGAAGGGGAATTCCACCAAAAAGTAATTGTTCTTCTGCTTTCAGCAGACTTTGGCCCGTTTGATCGCTCAATGGCTTGCTTACAAATTTTAGAGACCTAGGAGGAGAGAGAGATCCTCTTTCTGACTCCTAACATGGCTGCAGAGCTTTCTTAGAGGAAAAGGAAGCTCCTGCCCCATTTATAGGGATTGACATTGCAAAAAAGTATTTAATTTTCCTTCCAGTCTCCAAAAACGGCTAGCAAGCCCTTGTGCAATGGAAGTGTTGCCAAGTGCCAAAGTGTTCTCATAACTATTGTATAGACTTGATTACAAAAAAAAAAGATATGGGCGAAGAGAAAAGTTACTTTTTACAGTTCTAAGGACAAAAATACAAAGTGCGTGCAAGGTAATACAACAGGTCCTATTCTTTACTCGTAGGTTGACATCTGTAATGTGGTGGGCAGTTCATAATTGAAGAACACTTTTCAGAGTAATTAAAATATGTGGGAACTGTTGAGGAAGTTTTTTGGAAGGCTGAGAAAAGGTTGATGCTTGAAAATGAGAAAATGGACGAAAAGTTGACCTTAAAATTTGAAACGGTGCAAAAGTTGCAGAGTATCAAAAAGAATGGTTGGAAATTAAGAGAACTTTTAAAGCCACCAGTATCGATGGGAAATGATTAGATGTGGAGGGTTCTTCTCTTTCCACATTTTTCACTGTGATTGTAGCCATCTGTACAAGATATTATAGAAGGGTTGGATGATGTGGTGGCACCTTTCATTGTCTGAGGAACATGTAGAAAGGTTGGATGATGTGGTTGCACCTTTCATTGTCCGAGGAACATGTAGAAAGGTTGGATGATGTGGTTGCACCTTTTTATTGTCTGAGGAACACATAGAAAGGCTTAATGATGTGGTGGCGCCTTTCATTGCCTGGGGAACATGTAGAAAGGTTTAATGATGTGGTTGCACCTTTTGTTGCCTGAGGAATATGTAGAAAGTTTGAATATGTAGAAAGTTTGAATATGTAGAAAGTTGGATGATGTGGTTGCACCTTTCATTGCCTGAGGAACATTCAGTAAGGAGGACAAAAGGATGGCGTTGACGAGCCTTCCCGTTACAAAGCTCAGGAAGAGTTACAATGGGAGCCAGAATGCTTTGTATTTACTACTTTCTAGCATTTGGATTCAAGTGGCAGCTGGGAGACAGTGATGTACTTTTTATAAAAATTTAAAAAATGGGGACTCCCAGACTCCCTTCACCAGCCACCTCTGCTTTTGGCTGCCCTCAACAAACCGCTGGCTTTGCCTGGATTTTTTTTCCTTTTGTATTACAGCCTTGGCTTTATGTTGCACTTACTCTCTCCAAAGAAACTGTTTACATAATTGCCCTTTTTCCCCCTTTAAATTAGGGTTCTGTAATGGGGTCTGATACCAGGCCCATGTGTATGGCCTACTATGTTTTGGAGAGGGCCAAGGCAGTTTCACCATACCACTGCATCTTGGGGTTTTTCTGCACCTAGTGCATGGCGGTCACGATGGCTTGATGCTTCGCTGTCCCCCCTCCCTTTTTGTTATGCATTGTGAATATTCAGCCTTAACTGAACGACTGCCAGAATTGCATGCAACATCTCTGTAGCTCTGTGCTAGCTTCCATGGCAGGGAAGTGGTTAAAGGCAGGCAAAAAAATAAACTCTTCTTTTTTTTGTAATGCTGGAGTGAATGGCTGTGCAATTTGCTGGTTATCTGCAAGAGGGTAATATGCTGTATTGGGTTTTATTCAAAGGGAATTTTGCATTAATCAGCTGTGTGCAGTTTGGATTTGTTTCATCTCTGGGTCTCGTTTATTATGACATCTGAGGATAGAACTGTCTCAACCAGGCAACAGTCCACCCTAAGCAAATAATTCCTTCATTATAGTCTCCCAATATAAAATAATCTGGTTGCTTTGAGTGGCTGTCTGAGACTGACTCCTTTTAGATACTCTGATAAATGAGACCCTTTAGGTATAGTCTGTGCACCTTTTCATGTACACCGTCAAGGACTTCTCCATGCGTCTGCAAATTTGCTTCTAGCCAAGTTGTCTCTTGAGGACGTCAAGGATTGGCGTGTGCTTGCATCTATCTCCTATATTACACCTTCTGGAATTATTTTTCACCTTACGTTTTTTGAGCTGGCTGAGCATTACATGGTGGAAGTGCTTTAGGTGAGCCAGCTGGGACTGAGCCTATAGAATCCTTTATATTCAGTCTTAAATTAATAAGAATGTGCAATCCTACTGATTAAACATTTAATTATATGAGCCTGACACTTTGACTGGAGGGTCGGAGTCAGCTGATAGGTGATCTTCTGTCAACTGACTGACCTCAAGTGCCATAAGTAAGAGAATGTAGACAACTGCACCGCTCTGATGTTTGGCACGTTTATGCGCGTAGGACTAGCGCTAATGGTCTGTGCAGAGGAGAGGACAGGCAGATATTAAAGACCTAAATGTGGATCAACAACAAAGTTGAGGACCAAACCAAACAAACCTCATTCTTACTGTTCTTGATGTGAACACACCAGGAGACTTTTCGTCATATCAAACAAAGATCTCTCTGGCTATTAAAAACGTGAGAAGTCAAAGTAATAGTTTAATTTTAAGTATGGGGCTTGCCCCTGGAATGCATTGGGTGATTTATTGAGTTGATCAAATTGTGAACAGAAAAAACGTATGCGTTCTGATGAATGCTTGGTTTGGCACCCATCTTTGTTGATCCATATTTGGGTATCCTATGAGGAACGCCTGGCTGTTTGGAACCTGCTTACTAGTCAGTGAGCTTGTTTCTAACCTTCAGAAGTCTGAACTCGTATCAGATTATACAAAAATTCTCCCTTTGGAGTCTCCCAATTAATAAACAGACCCTGTCAGGTTCTTAAAAATGCAGCTCATGTTCCCTGGAAGAAACTAGATACCATGGTCACCTCCCTGGTGGCCCGGGTCTCCTACTTTCCCTTAG